CCACGCTGGAGGAGGGGTCAGAAATAAACTAATTCCTGCGGAAGAAATATGTGCATCTCCCGCACATTCTAGCTGAATTCCCTCCCAGCTGCTTTTCAATGTGTGTGCTTGAAGGACATAAGTACAACCCAGGGGAGTTCTAGGAAAGTCGCACCGGCCTTGCGTGCGTGCGTGCGTGCGTGCGTGTGTGTGTGTGTGTGTGAGAGAGAGACAGAGAGAGAGAGAGAGAGAGAGAGAGCGCAAGCAGAGGTGGGGGCGGGAAGCAGCCCACGGAGTAACGGATCTGCTTCCGATTCTGCCTTTTGGGAAGTGTCTGGGACCTCACCACACTCAGAGCAGCTACACGTTGCCAGGCCTCTGAGCCTCCCTAGGCAGGGATGTGGATGTCCTCCTGGTTTCCAGAATATTCTAAATGTGAGGAGAAAGGGCTGGCAGAGTTGGAGCCATGGGGACCCATGTCAATCCACGAGCGAAGCTGGGAGGGGGGATGGACAGGACCCGTTGGCAACTCGAGGGGGAAGATGCGACCGCCAGGTGCAGGCACAAGACAAGTGAACAACGGGGAGGCAGCCCCGGAGGTGATGCCCAGGGAGGGAGAGGAGACAGCGAGGGCGGCAATGCCCAGAGCCACACCTGCCAGCCAGGGCACCCTCCGCAGGCCCCGACGTTCAGAGGAGGTAGAAGGACCCGGAAACGAGGACCAGACAGGAGTGTGACACCGCAGCCTGCTGGCGCCCAGAGGTGGCATCTGAAGGGAGGGGCCTGTCCACGCCAGCCACACAACGAGGAGCAGGGCACAGGGGGTCATCTTGGGCCTAAGGCAACATTACGAGTGGCATGGGGCAAGGCTCCACCCTTGCTTTGCCTCTGGAAGATCAAACTCAGACTGAAGAGACGGAGGGTACAATTTGGTAAGTGGGGCTGCCGAGATGGTAACTGGCAGTTTGGGCTCAGGGAGAGGGCCTTCGGGGGCAGGGGCCTCTGAGCAGCAACAGGCTCAGCAGAGAGAGTGTCAGAAACTCACACGGAGGGGGGTACAGGTGCGTCACCAGCTCCCGAGGACACGGCGCCAGCTCGGGCAGCTCTCCGGGCCTGTGCTCTGGCTTTGGTCCTACCCCCCTCTCAGTTCTTAATAAACACACCGATCTCTGAGCATCCAGTCCCTGGCTGGGCATCGGGCTCCCATTCACCACGCTGGTCTGACATGTCACCACACCGTGCAAGGCCACCCCAGTGCCAGATGAGCAAAGAGTGCGAGAAGCTGGAGGTGCGCCCGAGGCTGCACAGGTGTGACGGCGAAGCGGTGACCCCGGGCGGCCTGACCCTGGGCTGGCTGTCTCGCTGGGCCGTGTTTTTCCCTTATGAGGTCAGTGACGGCTTCTGTGCACATGTGGGGACTGACCCTGAACATGTGAGGACTCTGTAAACTGGGACAGACGGGGGCTACGCTGGGTGGCACAGGCCGGTCCAAGCGGACTCCTCAGGAGAGGGGCGGAAGGAGCCAAGGCCCTGCACTGCCCGACTCACGCCCCGCAGGGAGGTGCTGACCTGGGACTCCAGCCCCGGGCAGGTCAGTAAGAGCTGCCCTCTCTGTGCCCTGCAGCCCCGTGACCAGCAAGCACCTGCCGCCATCGCCGCTGTCGGGGATAATCACACGTGTGGGTTCTCACGGCACCGTCACTTCACAGGACGCACAAGGACACAAACAATGCAAACTCAGGCCCCGTCCCAAGGTGTTCTTCCTGACATCAGCCTGGTCCTGCTGCCCAGCCCGGGGGTTAGTGAGGGTCTCAGACGGGCCGACAGCGCTGTCGGCAAAGGGCTTCTAGTCTGATACCGAGATGCAAACATTAGCTCCCCGTCACCTGGGCCGGGAAACAAAACCCTGGGGACCCACGGATGTCTTTCCTCTGTTGCCCAAACTCAAGAAAGCAGGCTGCTCCCTGGAGCCACCACCTTCGCCGAAAAGAACAGAAGAGGGGCCGAGTTTTCCCAGGAGGAACTGTGAGGTCCCCGTGCTGGAGGGAGGGAAGGGGGAGAACCAATCTAGCATTTGGGCCGTGAAAGGCTGTGAAAAAACAAGTCATTTGGGAAAATATTATATTATAAACACATATAATCATATGTACATACTCATATACATCCCAAGAGAAGCCTTACGAGGAATCCCCTTTCCTTTCAGAAGGCTTCACTGTGATAAAGCATCCCTACAGTGGGGACTCACTACGATGAAATAACTTAAGAATTTCATTTATACTCTATCTGTGCTCATTACATACAGTCTGTGCTAGCGGCTGCGTGGAGAATACTGTGTGGAGCTGGGCTAGGGCAGTGCTGCTTCTTCAAAAACAGGCAAGGACTTTTCTTCCTGTTCGCGTTTACCACCACCGCACAGCGGCGGCGCACAGCCCTGAACTCGGCGGAGGGACCCGGGCCTGCTGTCTGCACCTGGCCTTTGTGGAAACCGCCACGTCCCCGGAGCTGAAGGGAGCTTACAGGTGCCCACGGAACACTGGCCTCCATATAACTTCTGTATAAAGCTTTATTTTTTCCCACCCACTTTAATTTTTTTAAAAAAAAGTGAAAGAAGAGAAAAAACTCTTACAAAATAGAAGATTTACTATAGGGGAGCAAGGAATGTTCTGAGGCTGCCGGGCGAACGTGGCCCTGTGGTCCTGGGCCGGGTCAGCCCGTGTTCCCTGCCACGCGCCCACCCTCTTCCCTGCCACACTGCCCCTGGACTCCGGGCACACCCCGCCCCTTTCCTTTTTAACCCAGGGTGTCCGGATTAGCGTTACTGTGTTTAGCCACCGTGCTGGAGGTGGCTGAAGCCTGAAGCAGCCTGATCCCATGATGACACTCAGGGGCTGTACTGAAATGGACGGCCCGGCCACCGAGTCAGCCTGAGGGATTCTGGTGGGCCGGTCTGTGCTACAGAACCATCGGTGGGGGTCCCCGTCTACCACTGCCAAGTACCGGGTCTGGCATTTGGGAAATCGTGCCCTGCCTGGCAGAGCCCCTCCCCCTGGCCAGCAAAAGCGGTCTCAGATCTAAGTGAGGGCTCACATGCCCCCTCCCCGCACTCTAATAGGCTTGGGCCTTTTTTTTTTCCTCTTTCTCGATTTTAATAAGCAAATTGCACTACCATCTTATTCTGATGCGCCCCCTTTTCAAAGCTGTATATCACGTTAATGGAAGTGTTTACCGCTGCGAACACTCTCCATGTACAATGATCTGTAACCCGCTTATCTCAACTAGTTGCACATTATTAGTTCACATCCAGTTCCATTTATAAATTAACAGAGGTGCCATTCGTCTGTACAAAAATCAATGCATATTTATGAACTTCTTTTATTCCAATACATTTCCACACATCTCATCTGAAGACACAACACGGGAGCCTGTGCGACTTGGGCAACGTGGCCCGGGAGTGGCTGAGACCCAGACGTCCGCCTTGGCAAAAGGACATAAAATCTCTCTCCTGTCCAGGGGGTGGGAGGGGGGTAGCTTTTTATGCATTTACCCGGCTTCCTAAATGCGCCCGGCATGTCACTGTCGGCTGAAACTCGTGATTTCCCCCGGAATTTCTGAGTTGCTCTTATTTATTTTCCCCATTTTGTTTTTGCACCAAGGAGGCTGCCGTCAACTACTACTCAGCAACTGATCTCCCCTCTTTGGACTGAAAAATTAAACAGATACTAAATTATGACAGTGAATTTAGAAAGGAGGGCTCCAAGGGCTCGGAAGAACATGTCTGGGATAATATGATGCTTCTAAGAGTATTGCAATCACATCGCGGCAATCACCGGAGCGTGCTGCGTAACTGCCTCCTCGGCTAATATGCTTTCTTCCCGGTGATGACTAATCATGTTCTATTAAACAGCGGTAATGCTGCAAGAACTCAACTATACAAGTGTAATGAAGCCAGCATTCTCCCGGGACAGATTAGCTACAACTGATTTGACACACACCATCATAGGGGCTTCAGACCTGACAAACTCGGCTTGCTCCTGATTTATGCCGTCAAGCTCCTCGGAGAAGAGATGAGATAGATGCAAGTGTTCCGTGCGGTAGAGGTGAAATGTACTGATGTGCTTAACCGCCAGTTAAGGAGAGCTCCCGTCTCCTTGCTGCTGCCTCCCCTCCCCCTCTGTCCATCCCTGCCCCTTGTGCAGAGCTCTGTCTCTAGGCCACGGGACCGGGGTCCCGCGCCGTGTGCTATCATCAACCAACCGAGGCCAGCCGGTCGCTCCTATTGTCGAGTGGGGGAGTTCGTGGAAACGATCGATCCTGCAGCCTCCGGGCCTCGTCTTCGCCTCCGTGAGGACTGTCCAGGTTCTGTGATTTCACT